CCCAGGCCGAGCAGGAGCGCTTGGCGAGGAAGGTCGTCAGCTGAAGCGGATGTAGCCCCCTAAAAGAGGTTCGAAACGGGATCATGCTAAGACAACGAGGCCTCCTCTTGAAGTTACAAGGCCAAGGAAGCAGGTTGCCGAATTGGAGTCGACCTATGATTTGAGATGAGGAAGGGTTCAACAAAGTCTTCGTCAGGTAAGCTCTGCTGGCGGGCATCCATGGGATCCATTTTCTTTGGCGTTGGCGTGGATATAGAGAAGGCGCGTTTCGAGGCTCGTCTTATGGATTTGAATGTTGGGTTTGAAGACGACGGGCCAACTGTAGAAGGCGGCACCGGGCAAAACTTAGAATTCTTTTTCTTTAATTTTGGCTGTATGTCGTGACCATCCGCCCAAACATCTCGGATTGTCATAATTTGCCGGGGGTCCTTTTTTTTAAATTGGCGCGGTGTTTTAGCGTCATTGATTAAATACACAGTTGCTTTTTCCTTTTCGTATATTTTGTGCGCCGGGTTATTCCTGGAAGATTGGCTTTAGTACCGGCCCGGCCGGGTGGGATGACGCCCCCTTTCCCGGCGGATGTACGACCGTTAGCTATTTGATGTTTTAACTCGTCGCTGTGGCCCGCCCCAATGCAGCTGAGGTACGTTCTCTTTGGAACGTCTTGTTGAATCACTTGGGCTTGTAGGCGGACAGTCAGCTTCACTTCGTCGCCCAACCAGCTGAGAGTCGTTCCTTTGGACAGTCGTTCGCCAGCTGGGTAGTTTGGGTAGGGCGGAGCGTTTTTCTCTTCGCTTCGTCGCCCAACCACAGCTACGAGTCGTTCTCTTGGTAACGCTCGTTAAATCGCAGCTTGGATTTGTGGAGCGACGTCCTCTTCACTTCGACGTGCCCAACCAAGCTGAAGTCGTTCTCTTTGGAACCGCTCGTATCGCAGCTTGGAGTTGGTAGGGCGGACGTTTCTTCCTGCTTTCGGTTCGTCCCAACAAGCTGAAGTCGTTCTCTTGGAACAGCCGTGTCGCCAGCTTGTTGGAGTTTTGGTGGCGGACGTCTCTTGCACTCGTCGCCCAACCAAGCTGAGAGTCTTATCTCTGTGAACGCTCGTATTCGCCAGCTTGGAGTTTGGTAGGGCGGACGTTTCTTCCCGTGCCCACCAAGCTGAGAGTCGTTCTCTGGGAAACGCTCGTTCGCCAGCTTGGAGTTTGGTAGGGCGGAGTCTCTTCCTTTCATCGCCCAAACCAAGCTGGAGTCGTTCTCTTGGAGAACGCCTTTGTTTTCGCCAGACTGTGGAGTTTTGGTGAGGGCGGACGTGCTGCTTCGTTCGCGCCCAAACCCAAGCTGAGCGTATTCTCTTGGGAACGCCAGTTCGCCGCTTGGAGTTGGGTAGGGCGGACCGTTCTCTTCACTCGTCGTGCCCTACCAGCTGGAGCGTTCTCTTTGGACGTCGTTTCATGGATTTGGAGGACGTTCTTCGCTTCGTGCCCCAGCTGAGTCGTTCTACTAACGCGTGAGCGAGCTACCACACGTGAGTTTCACAAGGAGAAAATAGAACTTGATTCATTAACCATGGGGGTACATTACATCAGACGGCGAATGAAGGTTGGAAGTTAACTGAAATAAAACTTAGATGCGTGGCTTCCAGTGTTTAGGGATGGGCACGTCCGTCCTGGCGCTCCCAGCCTACTCACGCTCCGTTTCCCAGGCCTCCATTACTCGGACGGCCCTTCCCACTTGCGGCCAGCTTTCCATTAGTTGGGTTTCGCTCGGCGGGTTTCTCCCGCCTTTCCATTACTAGGTTCCCCCTCCTGGCAAGCTCTTGGCCGGACCTTGGAGTTTTGTTAATTTTTCTTTCCACCATCGCTTGCTGCTTCGCCCTCAGCGCCGCTCGATCCGCGCGTTCGTCCAGGAGTCCACTCGATTCTCAACTCTTGGTCGTTGAGGTCAGGTCCTCGACTTTCGCCTCAAGGACTGTTTTCGCCCAGCTCAACCGGCAACATACATCATACCCATCAGTTAAGTGTGAAAGGGTTTCGCTGTGGGTTCGTGAGGGTGGCATTATAGGCCCATAGGACCTCGGGCATTCGTCCACCCACGCTCCCGTCCTTCTCCCAAACGCCGCTTGAGTTCCGAAACTATGTCGGTTCATTGCTTGGCTTGTATGCCGTTCGTCTGGGGATGCTCCACGGAGCTGGTAATGTGCTTGATTCCCAATCCTTTGAAGAATTCGGCGAGTTTTTTATCTATAAACTGCGGCCGTGTAGTGTGATGATGGACTCGGGGGGCGAAAAGCGCCGAAGCGACATATCAACTTCCAACAGAATTTCTGGACCTGGGCGGCCGTGATGGGTGCCAAGGGCTCGGCCTGCTAACCCACTTGGTGAAGTAATCCACCGCCACCAGAGAAACTTCCTCTGCGCTTGCCCTACTGGGAATGGTCCTACGACTGTCCATTCCCCATTGGGCGCATGGCCATGGGGAGGATTGACTAGGCATGTGGCGGAAGATGGGTGTTTTGAATGTGCCTGACACAGCGAACGCAGCGCTGGACGAACGCTTTGTGTGTCCTCCCCATGGGTAGCCAAGTAAATACCGGCCTCGAACCGGGCTTTGTTAACGTTCTGGCCTGTGTGGAAACCACAAACGCCGTTGGTCAGCTCGGCCACTGACTAGCATGCGTCTTCGCTTCCACACAGCACTTAAGTGAGGGGGGAGGAAAGCCTCTTCGGAAAGTCAATCCCCCCAATAAGGAAGGGCGATTTCTCTGGCCTTCGACCCGGACCACCGTCCGCCCCTCGTCTGCGGGTCATGATCTCCCTGATGTCCTGCACGCCAGTCCTGCCTCCTCGGATACCGCGAGCATTCCACCGAAGGCGTGAAGTAAGTAGATAGAACATGCCGCCACGCAGTAGTCAACGGCCCCTTTCCTTTCCCGAACTGAGTTTAGACAGTACTCCGCCTCGTGGTTTTGTCTCTGGGAATGGCTGGATGTCCACTTTACGAACGCCCTTGAGGAGTTCACGCCGCTCGTTGGTAGTATCGTAAAGGCCTCCTCTCTGAACTGGGAAAGGTGCCGTTCATTGGCCTCCACCAACTCAGAGTCCGTCGGCAGGTTATCATCCGCCCCCAGTCTTCGCCAACTCGAGGCCGGCTATCGGGCCTCTACGCGGCCTGGTTGTTGGACACTTTGAATTGGAAGATAAGGAGTGTTCCAGTACGAATCGTTGGGGCCTTCAAGAACGATTGGCCGGCCCCGCTTATCGAAACGCCCGACGCCTCCGTCCAGTACAAATGTCCAGTCTTATAGGCCGGAGGATGGGGGTTGGGTTAATTAATCGGCCGCGAAATCTGACCAAATGTTGGCTTTAAACCGATTCCCCTCCGAAACACTAATCAACATAATTTAAGGGAAAGTAATCTGGTTTAAAGGTAAGTAGAAATTAGAAGCTATCGGGCCGTTTTGGGCCGTGATTAACTTTTCACTAATCCCAGGCCCATAGCGAAAACTATAAATACAGGTCCACGGTGAGTGGTAGATAGGTTACATTGAATGCACATTTATTACTGCTACTGAAAATAGCCACTGCTCTGAAACTGACTTTGGCATCGGAGAATCTTTTGTAGGTCTCCACCCCTCCGGATCAAGAGGAGAGCCAAAGCGCCGGGAGAAGATCAGCCACGAAGACGAGACCGCGGGAGGACTTGGAAGACTTGGAACCGCACAGCCCTACACATCCGAAACAATATATATATATATATATATAATGCAATAAATAAATGATAGTTTGTGAGACAGTTCACTTTAAATCGTTACATACGACACAAATTATGACGACTTTCGAATTTGCCTTAAACATAAATAATTACAGTTAAAATCATCACAGTATACAAAAATAACAGCAATAATTTACAAGATTTATCTAGTAAAAGATATACAACATTTTAGTATTCTAATTTATTTTTAATATATTTTATTTTTAAAACATAACTCAAAAATTTTTCTTTAAATTGCTCTTAGATTTTTTTTTTTACTAAAACTTAATGAGATTCTTTTAGTCTGTGAACTTGACTAACTTTAAATTTGTAATTACTTTTTAATATTCAATTTATTTTTATTTGTGCACATATATTTTGTTAAAGGTTTATAAATAATTAATGTAATTAATATTTTTAAACAATAGTTGTAACACTAAAAAATAATTTTGATGCTTTTTTACCTTCAGTTTTATAATTCTGAATAGTTTTCGACAAATTTATTGAAAACTTCCAATTAAAATTAAATACATTTATTTTTTGAATTATTTTTCGGCAGAGCAAAATATCACCGCCGCCAAGAAGGCGGTGGGTGCAGACTTTAAGGCGCATATGGAAGAGGTGGTGAGCGTGGTTCTTTACGCTAACCGCATGAGGTAGAGCGTTCTTGTGAACATAATGAGCGCGACCACTGTGTACCAGGCGGTGCTCTTTCTTGAAGGCCTGGTCCAATTCCTCATTGGCTTCAGAGAACAGGACTTCCTCAACGCCGTCGAACAGTGCAAGGTCTTGCCTCACGCTAAACATTATCGCACTTCCTCTTACTGATCCATACTCCACTCTATCTATTTCTTTCCCCTCTTTTTTCATCATCCCCATTTAGGCTTCATTATTCCATGAAATAATACATATACATTCATCTTCTTTACAATTGCTTAAACTTCCTCCTGCATTTTATTGATTGATACGCTTCACCTTTCCTGAATGTTGAATCACACTTTTTCATTTCATGTCTACATTTTCTGTATTCAACAGAGACCTCTATTAGTAGTAAATATATAATTTCAAGTCTTACACAATAATATAGTTTTTGTACTCTTTTGTTTTTTTGCCGAAATAGCTTAACAAAGAGTTTCCTTCATTTTCATTTATTACAAACAGATGGGGAAATACCCCGCTTGATGAAGCCCGGATGTGTGGAAATAAGAATCTGATCAAGTTGCTTGAAGATGCAAAATCTGCTCANCCTCATTGGCTTCAGAGAACAGGACTTCCTCAACGCCGTCGAACAGTGCAAGGTCTTGCCTCACGCTAAACATTATCGCACTTCCTCTTACTGATCCATACTCCACTCTATCTATTTCTTTCCCCTCTTTTTTCATCATCCCCATTTAGGCTTCATTATTCCATGAAATAATACATATACATTCATCTTCTTTACAATTGCTTAAACTTCCTCCTGCATTTTATTGATTGATACGCTTCACCTTTCCTGAATGTTGAATCACACTTTTTCATTTCATGTCTACATTTTCTGTATTCAACAGAGACCTCTATTAGTAGTAAATATATAATTTCAAGTCTTACACAATAATATAGTTTTTGTACTCTTTTGTTTTTTTGCCGAAATAGCTTAACAAAGAGTTTCCTTCATTTTCATTTATTACAAACAGATGGGGAAATACCCCGCTTGATGAAGCCCGGATGTGTGGAAATAAGAATCTGATCAAGTTGCTTGAAGATGCAAAATCTGCTCAACTGTTAGAATTTCTGTATTCCTCCCAAGAATTTACAGGTACTGACATATTGCGTTACCTTTATAGTTTTCCTAAGAGGTGGATAGGAAGTATGGTAGAATAGGCTTCTTAGCTATTTTGATCGATTAATTCTTCCATACTAAAGTGATCTGCCTGAGAATTTTATAACATGTACCGGAATGTATTATTATGTAGATCCGATGTTAGATTGTGTGAAGGGCGTGCCAGACCGATTGATATCCTAACCAAGCATCTCAATGGATCCGCTGATTTGGATATAGAAATAAATGAACCATACATGGTGTTCAAGGTTAATATTTATATTTATAGCAGTTCATATCTTCCCTTTCCTTTAAATGATGAAGATTATAATGTAATGGCCTTTGAAAACTCATTGAACCTTTTCCTTAGTATGATTAAAGATTTCCAGCTTTAAATACCAATGTTATTGGACAATTTACATAACAATTTGAATTATATAGTTCAGGGTTTGACAGTAAAGGAAATGGAAGAGCTTCGTGATGACATCAAATGCATCTGGACCTTCACAGGGCCACACCCACCCATGTAGAATATTGGGAGGTATCATCTTTTATCCATTCTTTATCCTATTCACGCTTCAATTGCAAACAGATCAAATCTGGTGTCTTTGTTTTGTGAGAAGGAAGGACAACCAATCGGTGGTCCAATTCTCATAAGCATTCGATCCTTAATGAAAAAACTAAAAAGTAAAATTAAATTTGTAGAATAATAGTTCTAAAGAGTTCTAAAGAACTAATACCACTTTAGCGAAACAACTAAACATTTATTCTAAAATAAGAATTTGAAAATAGAAACAGTTCTAAAGAGTTGCCATTAGCCTAGATATTCTAAAAATATATCTGTTTTGAACCCAATATCTTTGATTAAAACGCTGTTGTTTTGCACAAGGCTTTTAGGTTATTTTCAGCACTAAAACACTGTTTCTGCATCATTTTAATGATTGTTTCTGCATTGTTTTATACTACTGTTTTAACTGCTGTTCTGTATTGTTTTATATTGTTGTTTCTGTACTGTTTTTATTTGCTGTTTTGAATGAAAATACTGCACCAAAAATCTGCTGTCTTTGCTGTAAAATTTGCTGTCATTGCTATTGTTGTTTCATAATTCTGCATTAGCTGTCATTGTTGTTTGCTGTTTAAAATCCTGCATCAAATGCTTGCTATTTGACTTATAATTATGCACCAGAAAGTATTGCTGTTTGATACTTAAATTTGCTAAAAGTCTTCCTGTTTCAGAATTTTGTAGTTTCTGCAATTGCTGTATTGTTGTTGTGTGTTATCAGTTTGCATAGAATCTGGCTATATGAATTTAATTAACATGGGAAGTGCTTAATTATGAGTAAAACTCTATTGTCTTGACAAGTGAAATTTGGAAGTTTGGTATGGATGAGTACGTTGATTATAAATATATATGTATGTATGTTGAATTAGTATGGTTGTCCGAAAGTAAGAATTTATGTATACTTCTTGGATAGTATTGGTTGAAATCAAGTCATTGGATGTCTGTGATTGATAACGGTTGATTTCACCGTTTTTGATACTAAAATCTTTTTGACTTTAAAGCTTGCTTAAACTCTTGTTTTTAGTTTATTTTAGTGAATAAGAGAGTTGAGTTTATACTTGATGATTTTATCAATAAATTTTCTTGATTTTGTAGGTTATTGGAATGAATTGGAAGAGAAGTTGAAGTATCAAGGAGTTGGAACCCAGGAAGGATAGAAAAAGCACTAGAAGAGGTTACAAAAGGTCGCAGGGCGCTTAGTTGCCCTTTTCTGGGGCCTTCAGCGCCAGCGCAGGGTGCCTGGTTGCCCTTTTTGGGCCCCTCAACGCCACTCTACACCGCAGCACACCTAAGGCGCCCTTCCAGGGACGCTGAGCACCAGTTTCAATGCACTGTTGAGCGCCAGTTTCAATGCATCGTTGAGCGTCTGCTTGCCCTCTACAGAATAGAAAGGCATTACCGACGGTCATAATCCCTCAAAAACAGTCAAAAGTCGTCGGTAATGACGTATTATCGACGACTTAAAGGACGGTCAGAAAGCCTTCGGTAATTATCGAAGGGCAGAAGCCATCGGTATTAATCCTTCGATAATTTATGCTTTTCTTGTAGTGAGTGGTTCATAGTGCTAGTTCTCTCGTTGTGTTGCCTGCTTGCCCTTAGTTGGGGCGTTGAGCGCCAGTGACTTGGGCTTGTGGGCTAATTTTGATCTATTTAAGGACTTGCACACTCTAGGATTCACATCTTTGGAAGGTTAAAGCGCACAACACACTTTTCGACCCTTTGGAGGCAGAATTGGATGCGGGAGCTCTCTCTTCGTTTTCTAGGGTTTTTATTTCACTTTTACTCTATTGTATACGAAGGTTCTCCATGATTGTGGAGAACTAAACTCATTTGTTGTTGGAGAAAATGTAATCTCTAAACTTTCATGTATTTGAATATGATTTGAATTATTTTATAATTCTTTCATTAATTGTTAGTGATTTCCTTTTTTGTTTTGTTATGTTTTGATCACTCATAGCATAATGTTTGGATTTCTTTGTTATTGGAAAATATAGAATGTTTGGTTGTCTTAAGGTTATGTTCGTAATGCAAAATTGATTATTATGGATGCAAGGGATTGTGGTCTAATAATTAAGGATAGATTTTTTACTCCGCGGGATCGAATTCTAAGTAATTTTGAAAGTGACGTTAATAATTTAATGAAGAAGATGAATTCTTATATACATGAAAGTAAGGAAGGTGAAATCTAAACCCCAATAACATAATCATCTCATATTATAAATATTATTCATTCTTGTGTCAAGCCTCAATTGATTAATTTGTATTCATATTTACTTTTGTTGCATTTGTATTTAAACACCAACAAAATAGCTTTTCAATCTTAATTAGTTAAGTAATTACATGATTGTTTAGTGTCATGAGTCTTTTGAGATACGATACTTGGTCTTATCATTTATTATTATTTGATACGATTTGGTACACTTGTTAATGAGTTAACAGCACTGAATTATTGTAATATGTTCAGTAGTAATGCTTTGAGCATCAATGGTATACTTATTTGAAATGAGTAGAGACTGATAGCAAATAGTGCAAGTTTATATATATATATATATATATATATATATATAATATGGGTTAAATATGTTTTTGATCCCTTAACTTTTAGTGAAAATTGAAATTAGTCCCTCTTCAAAACTTTGGACTAATTTAGTCCCCAAACTTTAGAAATGTCTGAATTTAGTCCTTTTAACCAAATTTTGTTAACTTTATTTGATGTTTCAAACGCATTTCTAAGTTAACATTTAAGCAGAAATGTGTCAAATAGTATAAACAACTCAAATGTTATCATGAAACACACTTGAAACAACAAATAAACCTAACAAAATTTAGTTAAAAGGACTAAATTCACACATTTTTAAAGTTTGGGGACTAAATTAGGCCAAAGTTTTGAAGAGGGACTAATTCCAAATTTCACTAAAAGTTAAGGGATCAAAAACATATTTAACCCATATAATATTAGTGGATTATTGTTTGTATAGTCTATCCTTTCGTCTTTTAGTTGACAAAATGGTTATTTTTCTAGTTTGTTAATCCACCAAAGTATAAAACCTCTTTAGGTTTAATAGCACTGATGGTCCTTATTTTTGTCAGGTTTGTTCGAAATGGTCCTAATTTTTTTTTCTGTTCAATGTTGTCCTAAAGAATGTAATTTATGTTCAATTTAGTCCTTTTTACAGACGACATTTAAATCGTTAACGGCGCACTGTCCAACTGTGCAATCAATGACACATTACCCTTGACACGTCATCATCATCTCCTACCTCTAGAAACCCTAATTTTCCCTACACAGAAATCCTAGCCACCACTTAACCCTAACTGCCACCGCCACGGTCACGGCCAGCCACCATCTTCGCACCTTCATCATCTTCTCCGTCTAGCAACCACCCAAAAGCACGACCCATGGCCACCTACCAGCACCTTCATTGGCGCCACTTGTGCATCCAACAACAACCACCAAGGAACCCATTATTGTGAATCAAATGAACCCAAAACGAAAAATCAGATACATACTCCAAAAGAAAATTCTAAGTTCAGAAACCTTAACATTCCCAATCTGAACCCTCATCCCCCACTTCACAAAACCCAGACCTGTAGGGAAGAACAAAATCCCTAACCACTCGCAAAACAAAGAAGAACCAAGAATTTCCCAAATCAATTTTGAAACGAAAATCATATATTCCAATTTACAAAAACCAAATAACACAACAAAAACCCACAAATCAAAACCCTCAATCGCGAGTCCTATTATCGCGAAACCGCTTAAGAACGGTGGGCTTCTCGCATCGCAACTACGTCGGAGATTGAACTTTTGCGGAGGCGCCGCCGCTGCAACCCTCACCACGTCACGAGAAAGGAGTTCGCTCTTGTTTCTGCGAAACTCCGACAGACCCACTATGGTTAGTTGGACCATCACAAGCTTCAGTTTTCCTCTAGCTGTGTAGGCGTAAGGAAACCTTTCCCCCTTGCATTCAGAAACCCTAATTTTTTGGATGGGAAAAGGGCTGCCACGTGGCAGTCCCTTATTAGTTTCGTCATATGTTTCAGTCAAGGGAGGTTAGTAATTAAATGACATGACATTCACTTATTGCACAACTAGACAGTGCGTCGTTAACGATTTAAACGCTGTCTAGAAAAAACTAAATTGAAAATAGGGACATTTATTAAATATCTATTTTATTTTCATACAACTCACTCTAACTTGTATCTTTATTCTCTTTCTATATAATTATTTCTCATCATATCACATCTGTTGCTTAATTTTCTCGTTATCTTCTATATCCCCTGTATTATTTTAAAAATCTGTTTGTGAAAAATAGTTAAAAACATTTTAATTGAAAATATAATTTCACTTTTTTATATTAAAGAAGAAAAAAAACTCTTAAAATTTGATACATAGCAAGTAGATGTTTACAATTTCTCTTCTGCTGCTACGTTTACAATTATACAGTTGCAGCATGACATTGACTTTCAGTCATTAAAAAATTTCCACATTATTTTGCTTTTTATGTAATAATTTGTGTATAACACTTGTCAAAGTAATACATAATACATTGAAATAATTCTGGTCTTGAAGCTTCCTTTGGCTTTTTGCAAAATAACTACGTGTTCCTTATAAAGTATGATACCTCGAACATTTCTATCTATTATAGTCTCAGGTTCTAGAATATTACGAAAATTAGATAGATTCCTTACACACACCGTCACAGTTATGAATCGATTCTAAAAACCTTTGAGATAGAGAAATAAGAAAAAAATAAAACAAGTTTTTAATATAAACTAAATTATTTTTTGTAAAACTAAATTAATCATTTTTTAAATTACAATTTACCACACCATTCACTAAATAAGTAATATAAAAATCTCATTATTTAAGCATACTCTAATAATTATCACAACCATACTATACAGTACTCATCCTTTTAGATGTAAAATATAAAATCAAACTCCAAATATGACTGGAATAATTAATCATTAAAATATATATAAGCAAGGTCTTAAAACAAATATCAATAAGGGGAACCGTAATTTTGAGTTTGCATACGTATATAGAGGATTGAAATTAGAAATATTTAATCATCACATGGATATCTGCTTTCTTGGTGAGAAACAAAAAATAATAATTCAATAAGAAATTTAATATTACTTTTTTGTTGCTTCAACGGGAATAATTTAATAAATTTTATGACAAGTTGGTAGTAGTGTAGTTTGTATCCAATAAAAGTAAACGGTTTACCGGGTTTAATCTAAACCAGCAAATATTAGGTTGTTTTCGAAAGGATCAACTACTCGTGCCTTTTTAAAAAGAAAAATAAAGATAAAAACACATTTCTAAACATTTTCTATATTATTTGTTAAAAATTATTAAAAGCTATAAGAGTTGAGTTTCGTAACTTATTTAAAATCTATAAATTTGTATTGAAAAATAATTATGTATTAAAAAATAGTATTAAAATATGTGGTGGTACATTTTTCTGTTTTAAAATAATGCAGACAACTAGTGAGTTACGTTTTGGTAGATGCCCAGGCACGTGAAGCTGTGGTGGTAGAGTGATTACAAGATGATTAGAGATTTTTGGTGTCATATGCATGGTTAGAGTTCTTACAACTTGTTTTTGGTAGGTGAACTCAGTGATATTTTTAAAAATTCTTTGAATTTTATAACAGGAGAATGGTATATGAGAGTAGTCGAAAGTCTTCTCTTCATTGATGAATAATGGACTTATTTAACTGTTCTTTTGTTCATTGCAAATAATTCATCTCATGATTTCAACGCATAAAAGTATTAAACATGATTTTAAAATATTATCATTGTAAAGTACACCATATTCATTTTTATTACACGATTTTCTGTTATGTGTCTATAATCATATCTACAGAAATTTTAAAATATTAATAGTTTTTAAAAATATAATATTTCTATACAAATGCTAAAATTAATATATATATATATATATATATATATATATATATATATATATTATAATTGTTCTTACATATACAAAGAAGTCCCCAATAAAAAAATGTTGACTTTCTAACTCTTTATTCTGTTAACTACTTCTCATTTTCTTTTTATCGGTACTCGTTTTCTATAAAATAGATGCTGAAAAAATATTCTTGAATAAAGTCAAAATAATAATTAATGTCCAAAAAAAAGTGAAAACAAACATCGTAATGTTATATTTATATTAATTTAATACTTATAGAGTCTTACTTGGATGAGTCTGGATTTGGATCCAATGGTACAATGACTTATTTATCATCTTGTTAAATTTTATACTGAGTTGTATATATATTAGATTTGATAAGTCGACACATACTTGACTAGGTCGTTTGGTAAGTAGTTTATTATTATTTGACAGGCGACACATGGTATTAATAGGAGGTAAGCAACCCTCACAAGGTGACACCTAACTATATAATAAATGACGTCAAGTCTTGGTTGGCACCACATAACTCTCAACAAACGACTTATGACACTTAGCAAGAAGCATTTAACATTCGATAGGTAATACTTGATCCTTAACTTGTGGAGCATGGTGTCAATAGGCAACTATCGATCTTCAGTAGGTAGCCCTCGATATATGACACTATAACCTTAGCAAGTAAAACTTAACCTTTGATAAATAGAAATTGGTCCTTGGCATGCGACATATATGACCTCCAACGGACGATACTTAACCTTTGGTGAATAGCCTTTGACCCTTGACCGGCGATACCTAAGATGTATTCTGTACTAAATTGTCCTAGGAAAAAATCAATGTTGATAAAGAAAAAATATTCAGTATAATATATATATATA